TTTTTTTTTTTTGGCACGTCACTGTATATATACTTCCTTAGTCGGACCTAATTTTAGCTATACCATTGTGGTGACTTTTTTCAGGGTGAGGTCTTGGGAATAACGAGATTTGGTGTACAAAAAATGAAGGATAGTGTCTTGATGCTTGCTTCATTTGAGAAGACGGCAGATCATCTTTTCAATGCTTCTGTGAATGGGCGAGAGGATAAGATTGAAGGAGTTAGTGAGTGTGTTATTATGGGCATCCCAGTGCAAGTCGGCACAGGAATCCTTAAAATCAGGCAAAAGTAAGTTAAAATCTCGGCCAATTTATTTTGGAAACATTTCGAATTTTCTCTTTACACGATTGTTTCATGAACTGAACTCATTTATCTTAAAATGCACTTCTACTGATTTATTTTTTTATTTCCCTAATACTGCAGCACACAGCCCGTTAAGTTGACTTACGGTCCAGATCCAATAATCCGCTGAAACTCTCAGAATGTACAGAAAATTGTGGTTCGTTTTTCTTTTGGCAGTTTTGACACTCAGATTCTTAACGTCATAGTTACTATGTTTGAGCTGAATATGCAATATTATTACACTTTGTGGATGCACGAGCAACATCGTGAATTCTGTTTTTGGGGTATAAAAAGTAGCAAGCATGTGTAAGTGTAATTGAATTCGTGCAGAGAGAAAATATTCTTTCCCCTTGAATTCCATGTCCACGTTAGACATATATATAAGAGAAGTTGATGGACTTGATTTAGCCCCTGTTTATTCGAACATGGATGGCTGTTTAGAGTTTAGCTTTGGCAGATACAAAAGCAAAGGAAATAAACTAATCTCGGCCCAGCCCACTAGTACTCATTGGTACAGTTTTTTTTGTATTTTGGGCCCAAAACCTAAAACTCAGCTGTGGCCCGTATAGAACATAATGACTTTCTGTTATAGTACCTTTGAAAGTAGGAAAAACTGGACGACTCAGGCAGACAATAAAATGATAGTTTACCAATTCAGTACAAACAGAGCATTAAACAAAGAATTGTATGTCCTTGAAAATTCACCTTTGTTGTACCGTCTACAAAGCTATATACAGTAAAGCTGTTCGTCTGCTGAACTCAATATATAGCCTACTACTTGATTACATTTTTTTTTTTCTTCACACACACTTGAGAAGTTAATTTGTTTATGTTTGATTTTGTAAATTTAATACCATTAGCACATAATAATCAAATGGGAACTGTTTGTTCGTCATGGTTTTATCTTATCTTGTGATGGGTTTAGTTAATATGTCTTATCAAAGAAATTAATGTACATACTGTAGATATAAATACATGCATGCATGCATCATCATGAAGAATAAAGCTTTCTCAATGTTATGTGATGATGAAATAACTGAGAATAGTTGTATTGAAGATTGAGAAGACAGTTAAAATAGAGAGACAGGTAAAATTTTGCAGTTGAACGAACAAGTAACCATAATTAGTGTTTATAGGCTATCTATACCCCTCCCTATTAAACACTCTGCACCAAATGGCCCGAAATTCATGTGATTTTGCTTGCTAAATCTTTTTTCCCATATCTTTCATAAATGTTGTATGTATATTATATCATATCAATCAAGAGAGTACAGATCAAATGGGACTTACTGAATTTTTTTTTTTTCTTTTCTACTTCTTATCTCTTTCCATATTGTTATACCCATAATCCAGTGTACTTCCTAATTATTTTTCATACTGATATTTAGAGCTTAAACGAGTTGCGACAAGCCCCAACTTTTGATACTCGAGCTCAGACTCAAGCTTCTGTAAAGTCGAGCTGAGTTTAGCTTGTTAGTTAAAAATACTCAAGTTCGGCTATTTCACTAATATTAACGTGCAGAAATCAAGAAATAACGAGCCGAACATATTAAAAAAAATATTAAGATTGTTTAAAATTCGTATGCCTGAGCTTTAACAAGTTGAGTTGCAAGTTAAAATAAAATATAAAATTACTCAAAATCATATTCTCGAACAGACTCAGTTTGGTAGCCAGATAATTCAAGCTGATCATGTCTTAAAAGAGCCGAAAACTAGTGGTTTATTTCATTTCATAACTCTAATTGAGCTTTAATCATAGTTATAGATTGCTCCACTACACACAATTCAAGAGTAATGCTAAGGAGCCAATTGTTGGCTCCGTTACGGAGCGAACAACCAATAGGACAGCTCCATGTGGGGCTGTCCCTCATTGGAGCCATGTGGGACAATCTCACATGGGCCTATCTTATTAGTTGTTGGCTCCGTAACGGAGCCAACAGTTGGCTCCTTAGCATTATTGCACAATTCAAATGCTACATACATACAATCATTTTGGAATTTTTTACCAAAAAAAAAAAAAAAAAAAA